TTGATGGTTTCAAACATTCAACAAACCGTGTAAGATGCTTATTCAATTAACATACAGAATTGAATATTGGCACCAATGTACTAATATGTTAAAACCCTTTCAAACCTAACAAAACCAACAAGTTTATATAATGTTTGCAATATAGGCAATGACCTAGGGATACATGATATCTGCACAATTTAGAGCGAGGGCTGACGAGGTACGAGGTGAATCTTTGCAATTTAAGCGAGGTGAATTAATTAAATTCAGAAAACGAGGTGGGCAGAAATTGCTTTCAAAGCATGTGCAACGAGTGAAAAAAAACTTTTCGGGCTCCAGAAAGTTTTTTTGGTTCCCATCAGAGTGAAAAAAATAGAAAATTAAGGGTGCATTCAGACCCGTGAAAAAAAACTTTCTGGAGCCCGAAAAGTTTTTTTATCGTAATTCAGTCAGTGCCCTGTGGTGTACATGCCCGGTTGTTCCAGGACTTCCGTATTTGTTCTACAGTGAAACCACTGTTTAAGAACCCACTGCATTAAGAACCTCAGGGGCTGGATTGCTGGATTCAACTCTGTCTACCAGCTAATTGAAATAAGAACCCTAGGGAACCCTGAAATTTTGGTCAATAGTTCTTATTCACCTTTCCCAGGTAGCGCGACTAGATTCTAAAATTGCTAAAGCTTGAGGTGTAGCGGGGTATCTTGGTGCTGCTGCTGCAGCTTCTCTTCTCTGGGGTCGAATTTGGGGGGAATCGAGCCGCTTTGTAAAAGAGGCATCTCGGAAACAGGAAAAAACTTTTTAGGCCCTGAAAAGTTTTTTCAGCATCCCCAAGCCTCTGGAGCCCAGAGCGTTGCTGCAACGACGACAAAGATAATTCAAAAAAGTTCAACCCAAAAGGAGGCAGAGGACTAGTTCGAATGGCTTGCGGTCGAGAAAGAAATGGGACGAGGGCTGAAATCCGTTTTGAATGTAACGAGGCGAGGACTGAAGATTTAATCAGAGGGGAAAAGTAGATTTAAGACGAGGAAACCGTTTTGAATTTAAAGTAAATTTTGCAGATGATATGTTCTTGTTGGTTTTGATGTTCATCGATGAGGACTTGACTGACAAAAGGATGTCTTCGTTTACGGCTGCATGAGTCTTCAAACGACTTCCATTGCTGGATGGCGTAGATTGCCAAAGACTATGATACATGTTGTGTTTTTGGGGTTAGACATGGTTAATCATGGTTATATAGATGGATTTTTACCTGTGTGAGTCTGTGAGTCAATAGAAGTTGAACCAAATAAGCGCCTCAGATCTGGCCAAACCGCCCGACATCGAGTGAAAGATCAGGGTGCGTCTCTACATCTGAGTATTTCAGTTTCCGTGTCTGTGTGCACATTTTAAAGGTTCTCCTGCCAATTACCATACCCACCATTTGTAGATGATTAGATGAAAACCATTGATTTTCATGGATTTTCCATATCTATGTTAGTTTACCCTGGGGTATAGACAATTACTTCCCGGTGTGGAAATCAAAGTGTTTTTGTAAATTATGCGTCCTAGCTGGGGGAGGTTAATTCTGGATGTCGATGCGATGTTGCGTCCAGGTTGTGTTTGTATGTTGTGGTTTTCTTCATTTTTCTTCTATTGTGATATGTTGCAGCTGACATGTACAAATTGATCTTATATATTGATTGGCGTCACCTGGTTGTTTCATATCTTAGTCGACAAGTGATAAGCAGACATGTTCCCTTGTAGATAAGCAGATTGCTTCCCGTGCCGTATGGAGGATATATATATATACATATTAATATATATCTGCTCATTACTTTAGTGTCAATTCTAAGGTGAATAAACATATGCTTGTTACTATTACCATCTGGTTATGACTAACATAGCCAGTGAAAATCCCTGAAATAAATGGAGGTTTATAGCTGGGAAAATCATCTATAAATGGGTCAGTTTCCATGGCTATGTGAAATAACCAGAGGGTAATAATGTACTGTAGTTTGTTTGTTCAATAACAAACATACGGATTCATAAGGTTCAAAAAACAGTAAACAAAATCACACGTATCGAAGTCATATTTAGTTGCAGAAACACTCGAGCCTGCGAATCTGTACCGCAACCCATCTACCTCTGCAAGATTGCCATCAAGAACCTGAGTTAGCACTTTGCATGTGCGTCCCATTGCGTTTTGTCTATGAAATCCTGAAAAGCAACTTATTTCCAAATGGCCTTGACACATGCGTCCACACGATGTTTTCTGCATGTTAAGGCGCCAAAAAGCATACCTTTAAATGCACTACTGTTTGGTGGTTTGGAACATGAATTTTATTTTCCCATATATTGGGAATGATAATCCCAACTGACGAACTCATATTTTTCAGAGGGGTAGGTATACCACCAACCAGCCAATCTGGTGTTGCCGTGTTCCCTGCAGGACTGGAAGGTTCCTGGCTTCTTCAACTGTGGCAAGCGCTTTGAGGGCGATCGAATGAAGGGGAAGCCGCTGAGCGAGCTGAGTCGATGTGTGGATATGTGCGGGGATGAAGATACGTTATGTGGGGCCCCCTTCTACGTTATGTGAACGTTGGTTTATAACCCCATCTAACAAGTTCGTTATAACTACCATAAACCCAAACGTGAAATTGTAGTTATGTTCACCAACTTAGTTATTTCTGGGCCCCACATTGTATGGGTATCTATATTCCCCAATAGTGTAAGCGGGGAGCCAAGGAGCTTCTACGAGTTTTCCAACCTCATCCGCCATAGACTATACCCAGTTTTGTGTAAGCTGTTGCCGCATTTTCTGCGGTGCTATATACCAATTATAGTTGGCGATGTGCTGTATTTTCTTTTGTGAAACAATATATTGCATCCGGGCCAGTTATAATTGGCAGAGCTCCCTTGTTCTTATGTTTTGTTTCTTATGTTATCGTTTCTTTGTGGATAACATGGGTCGCTGGTGACCGTGGCGTGTTGTTTGGTGCTTCTGTTTCCCATTTGCCTCTTTGTAAACTTCTGGATTTGGCCTAAGATTCTGTGTGTTTGCAATCAGTTTTGCAATTTGCTTACCCTCTGGTAAGCAAACAAAAAACTATTGAAAATGGCCATAGGAATAGTGGATCTACCCATTGAAAATGGTGATTTTCCATAGTTATGTTAGTTTACCAGAGGGTACTTGGGAATGTCAAACATATGTTGCGACAGGCGCAGGAACATGTCACTGCCTACAACCACCTTGAGGTAGCATCCCGATGTTTGAATATTCCCTCTATGGCTCATGTTTTTTCTATTCAACACAGCAATCTTGAAATTATTGGACCCCTGGTTGGCATCCAAATTTGTCTTACTTTACCAGAAACTGGATTGTTGTGTTTTCCCGGCAACTACATCTATAGTCTGGAAAATATCAGAATGATTTCACAACAATCTCGCCGCCATCATGTAGTCAGGGAAAACTTCCCAAAGTAGGTTTATGTCATGTCAGTTATGGTTTGGGAACGAATTTGCCCAGATCTAGGTATAGTCAAGGAAATGTGTCTTGATATGTTTGGTTTGATTTAGTTGCCCACAAACATCATTTATTTTTATATAAATACATATACATATATATTCACTGGTATTGTTAACTTTTATTTTCAACAATTCCGTGAACACACCGATCATGGTACATGTCGCAGGATATTCATCCCTCATGTCCTTTTTTATTTCCCCAGATCCAGCCAATAATTTTGTTGTCATTTGCCAGTCATTTTCATAGTCATATGATGAATAATTAAATTGCTATTGTTCACCGTTGTCCTTGTCATAATTTAGTGGTGGTCACATGGAATTCTTCAGCGTACCGGCTTTAATTCACTAAAACCACAATTCAACAAATACAACCCATTGATAAACATGATCATCTTCATGATCATTCATTAAAACCGCCATTGAACAAATATAGGCCATGATTATCCATGTTTGGGCATTTGTCATTATGTTTCAACAGTTATGGCCCAACCAACAGTTATTGTTATGGGTTTATTTCATGATATATCTCACCTCAGATGTAGGAGTTATGTTATTCCATCAAAACAACTGTTAAATAAGGGCCATAACCCCAATTATCTATAATTACATCACGTATTGCTGGTTGGTGGTTTGGAACATTTTTTTCCCATTCAGTTGGGAATTTCATCATCCCAACTGACGAACTCATATTTTTCAGAGGGGTAGGTATACCACCGACCAGATTTATACCACCATGTTTACTAATGGAATTCACATGTCATTTAGTTCGTTGATTTACCCATTAAAAATTGTGGATCTTTCCTTGATTACCCTCTGGTAAACATACAAAAACACTATTGAACATGGCCATTTATAGTGAATTTTCCCATTAAAAATGGTGGATCTTTCCATAGTTTTTTGTATCATCACTGGGAGATTTATGGGCCCTTGCCATGTTACAACCCCCATGGGCCCCCATGAGTATGGCCCCAAGGCCTTGGATGACCCAGATGTGCCGTGCCATCGTTGGTTCCGTTGGTTATGTAGGAAAAACCCGTGGGAAAATCGTGGGGTAATCATGGAAATTCCAAAGGGAATAAGATTTGAACGATTGGAATGGATCTTATCTCAGACTTATTCAATGATTATACAAATCGGATTATCATGGAATAGTAATGAGATAATAATGAGATAATCATTGAATAAGAATGGGATAGGATTCTAAGAATAGAATAGTAATGATATATATATATATATATATTTGTTTTGATAGTTAATACCGGATACACGGATACACCATGAAAATCCATGAAATAACATAGGGACAAAAATGACATAATATGACATAACAATGAGATAACAGTTGTTCAATCATGGAATAATAATGGAGACAATCAAATAATAATGACATAATAATGGAATAGTGTATGACAGTAATAGTGGAGGAATAGGTACCTTAGGATTGGATTTATGTCCATCCTCTTGGGGGCAATGAGACACCAAGGTGCTCGTGGATCATTAAAGTGGCATGTGAAAACGACATGTTTCATGGGTGAATCCTGATTTCTCATGGGAAAATCCACGTTTCCGATGGGTAACTACATTTGCAAACAGTTGCGAGTAATTTCCTTACATTACTTTCGGGGAACCAGCATGGTAATGGAAAATTGATTGTCAGTTCTTTTTTCCTACTGGGCAAATATATCTAAATAGCAGCTGTTCTGTTGCCATGTTTTGGTACACGGAAGCATGGGTTACAACTACCAACCACATCATGTACAACCACATCATATGATGTGCCTTTTGGGTCTCCGGATATGTGGGCTGTGTGGACCACGTTATTCTGCCATTGGCTAGTTAGTGCAGGGCCAATTCTGGGGGACCCAAGAATCAATTATGAAGGGACACAAAATTATATTTGTTTGTGTTTAAATAGATATGTAAATATGGATACGTGTATATATATATATACACATTTGCACATATGTGCACAATTTATCTGTCTGATCTATGTTGAATGCGTTTACAATGAATGAATGTAATGTAAACAACAACATGTATATAATTTATGTTTACCACATATCACTATGAATGCAAGCAACCGCATGAAAGTTGCAAAATTGATTATGCAACCAGCAACCATGTTGGTATGGTTATTTTGAACATGCTATGGCAAAATGCATGTTTGCTAATTACCCAAGAACAGATTTGTGTTCATGCACATTGGCTACGAGTCATACCGTATACCCGAAACACTCAATCACAGCAGTTGGTAAACTAACATAGCTATGGAAAATCACAATGTTTAATGGGTAAATCAACTATAAACGACCATGTTCAATAGCTTGTTGTATGTTTACCAGAGGATATGTTGAAAGGACCTGTAGCATCTAAGAACGAACCACCCAGCAAATTCCAGCCATAGACATCTCAGTTGAAAGGGGTTGGGGTGTCTAAAGCCAAATTATAACTCTAGAACCCTTCCGTTTTTTTCCTTAGATGGGTTAGATAGGTTTCTGGTTGGTGGTTTGGAACATTGTTTATTTTCCCCAATAGTTGGGATGATGATCCAATCTGACTTTCATATTTTTCAGGGGGGTGGCTCAACCACCAACCAGGTTTTCAAATATCCATGGTTTTTTTTCGGGCAGAGGTACGAAAACAATTTCTGGTACCTGCGCGTTCCACCCGTACCTTGGCATGGGATTTTACCAGCTCAAGTGAGGACTTATACACAACTTAACTATATAATATAGACATATACAGACTACATACAAGACTGTTGATGTATTTAAGAAACAACATCTAAATGTCATTGATCAGTTGATATGAAATTTAAGCATATTTATGGAATGAATTAATCATGGGGTAACCCCAAATAGCCACTGGAATTCAGGGAAAATGATGGTTGACCATGAAATTTTGTGTACCCTTGTTTTAGACAAGTAAATGCTGTATGCATAATATATGTTGTCGTTGCCATTGTTCTATAGTATAGCCTAATATGTGTATACATGATTATACATGTACATACAACAACCCTTGTCTCAGACAAGTAAATGCTGTATGCATGATATATTTTGTCGTTGCCGTTGTTCTATAACCTAATATGTATACATGATTATACATGTACATACACCATGCATGCATGCTTGCATACATGCATACATGCATACATACATGCATACATACATTCATACATACGCATATTATATATAATTATATATATACACATACACATACATATTCATATATTTATGTATATACAGTGTTCTATAGTTACTATTTATAGTCTTGATTGTGTATCTATGAGTCAATGAGTACACACCCGTAACTAGGTATTTTTGGTGTTTCTTGCTTGGTGTTGGCTTTGGCATAATTAGACAAGTATTTTTCTTCTCAGAACCACTCCCCAGATCAAAGTCTTTGAACAACCATGTGGCTTGTAGCCAAACACAGAAAGAATGCAATGAAATGAAACCAAGTGCAAGCCAAACACATATGCACCCCATGGGCCTTCCAGATTCACGAGCGGATTCCATGTCTGACATGTTCCATCCCCATATGCCAGCGGCATGTGTGGGGATCAAATCCCAGGTTTGAAGACCCAAGGGCAAATGCACAATTTTTTCCACCCTAATGGAATTCACATGTTCACGGGCAAAATATGGCAAAATTCTGTGTTTCTTGGTCAAATTCGATCTGTGGAGGACATTTCAGATAAAATCCGGGTTTTCACCTGGTGTTTCACAGTTTTCCCACCAAGCTGTGGGTTCTACCACTCATCGAGGAAAAGATGGGTACTTCAACAATTCACTACGTGTCTCGGTGGGTAGTCACTGGTACAGCCCAGGCGCCTGTTGATGGGCATTGATGAGTTTAATCCCTAAAAACACTAGGGTCAAGCAACATAAAGTGGAATAAAACTTGTTTGTTTTATTTTTAGCGACTGGGGAGGCTATATTATACATATATATATATATATATATTATATATATATCATGTTATAAAGTTCAGCTTAGACACCTGAGGAATCAGCCCAGCAGGTACCTTATCCAAACAAAGCCATGCCCTGCTGATCCTGTTGCCTGTTGTGTGGACTGTGACCGTGGCGATGACGATGAAATGATCATGATAATGATGGTGATGATGATGATGATGATGATTATGATGATGATGATGATTGCCATGCCATTGTAATTGTTTAACAAATTGTGTTTTCATGTGTAACCATTATTAATCAATGATATTTTGTTGGTTTCATTTCCTGGATATAGCAAAGATTACTGCAGAACCCCCAATGAGCAATACCTAGGTCAGACCCAAATTTATTGATTTTTCGAAATTGTGTGAATAGATATACTCCAAACATAAGCAATAACCTGTACATGATGTTTGGTTGTTGGTTGATGGTTAATAATGCCCTCTGGTAATTCAACTTAATTATAGAAAATCACAATTTTTGATGGGTAAATCAACGAACTAAATGGTCATTTTCCATTGCTTTTTGTATGTTTACCAGAGGGTAGGTTTGCAGCACACCAATAACTGTGTTTATCTCGTCGGATTTGGAATCAATAAAGGGACGACTGACTTTTGGGTTTTGAACACACCCGCTTAGGAATTATTTGAAAAAACACCTTGTTCTTTAGGCACCATGGAACTTGCAGATACATCTACGGTAATTCCAAGATATGCGCCCACACCTTGGAATAATGCGACATTCCCGACGTCTGAGGACATGAACCATCAGGTGATGTGTATCTTGGCGAAAAAAGTCTGGAAAAACGAGATTATTTCAACCAACCGATGGACGGAGTTGGGTTCGGGCTGCGGATGACTTTCGGAATGATGATACAATCAAGAGATAACCTAGGGCTGTGACCATTTATAGTTGATTTTCCCATTAAAAAATGTGATGTTCCATAGTTTTTTGTATGTTTACCAGAGGGTACCCTATTTTCAGAGAAGCAATGTGCCTTGAGGCCTTGAGGACTTGTTTGACCTGGCTTTGTCTAACAGGGTAATTTGGATGAGAATCTCAGGATCCCATGAAGGAGAAGAACATGATCTGAAAATGGGGTATACCCTGCTCTATACAATATTTTTATATACATTATATACATTATATACGCATACATACACACACACACATACATACCTACCTACCTACCTACCTACCGACCGACCGACCTACCTACCTACCTACCTGCATACCTGCATACCTATACATAGGTACGTACGTACGTACGTCCATCCATCCATCCATACATACACTTCTTGGTATGGCCAATGTTTGACCCGAATAAGATCCAATGGCACCATCGTCCTTGCTGGGATGGTTTGATGTTTCAACATTTTTAGTTGGGCACTCTGCCACCAGCTAGATCTAGCCACCATTTAAGTTGGATTTATCCGCGGCCATCCAAGCCACAACTGAAATGCTACGGCGTGGTGCCGTGCCGGGCTTTTTCGAGGCATGTTCGCTGGGAAGAAGGAGTGGATCATGTGGGATCTGCGGACGGAGTCCCAGAAAGTTCCGATGCACCTGGGATCGACAGAGGTTCGACCTGATGGTGGCCCCTTTTTTTCACGAGAACGCTAAGTTGGTGAACATTTGCCGGTGAACTTTGGTGAAAACGATGGTTTATGGTAGATGAACTATAACTAACATCAACTAACTGGGTTCACCATCTTGTAGGGGGTTGCTAAGCTACCTGGCTCAGGATTGTGGCCAATAAAGTGGGAATTGTTTCCAGCCGGCGTGGGACTGAGGACATCATCATTTAAGGACATCTGGATACAAATCACAATAAGTCAGATATATTTAGGAATGAACAATGGAATGAATCTGCGTAAGAGTTCTAATTTAAATCATACACAAATCACGGCACAAGTCACTGTCATATGTTTTCTGGACAAATTTGTAGAATGGAAATAAATCCGTCTCATCCTGCCAACAGGCGTGATTGCTGATTCAGACGATTCTCCTACTTAAGCAGTTTGATGGTTACAGTTACAATGTTACAATTCAAGTTATTGTTTCTACAATGCCAATCACTCTTAACTAATGTAGTTTGATGGTTGCTATCAATGTTTCCACCCGCACCTTTACAAAGTAAAGTAGTTTGATGGATTGATGGTTCCTGTTTGTTCTTACTCATCATGGGAACCTCAGTAGTTGTGGGAACCTGACTCTCAACTAGGACTAGGACAAGAGGGTGCCCCCAAGTTATTTCAGTTGGTGTCTGAAGATTCGAAGGCAGCGCATCGACATGAGTTCGATACGTCTACCAAAAAGCCGAGTTTATGAGATATCAACCAACTGAACTATCATAAATCACATATAAATCCCAATGTTTCATGGTCAACTGAGTGAAATCCGCATAATTTCGTGCTCCAGTCCCCATGGTTGCCATGGTTCACAGTTATTTCATGGTAATTTTAAGGCCCTTTTTTGTTATTCATGGTATATCCAGCGATCAGCTGGATGACCAGCTGGATGGCCAGAGCGGCCGTGTCCCCAAGGTGGAATGAATACTACAGAGCTCCGTCCCAGGGAAAACCCCAGGGGTCAGACGATTCGCCCATCGATGGCGAACGTGCCTCGGCGAGCGCAAGGTGAAGGGATGAACATGGATCAGGAGGGTGTATATTTCATGGGGATATATTGGGTATATAGTTAGATATAACAAACATGAATATTATGATTATGATACTGGAAGGATAACTTGTATGTAAGTGATCTATATTGATCTAATATATATATACATACATATTGATCTATAAATCCATACCCTCTTTGACTACCGGAGGGTACAACTCTCACAGAACTTGTAGGTGGGCCGATTGATCATATGATATTCATTGCACTGATCCACACCTCAAGGAATCGATGTACCATGGATGGTCCACTAGCTACGTACTACCCTGTTCCTGCTGGAGGGCTTGGAGTCCTTACTTTTGCTGGTGCACCCTCCATGCCGCTTGGTCGGGACCAGGGGTCGACTTGAAGCGATGGCCGGAATTTGGAAGCGCCAGATGGAGGAATACAACCATTGATGCTTGGTTTCCTGCAGTTATGGCCCAACTATGCCCAACTAACTAGTTATTTTTATCTGGGCATATTTCATGATATATTTCACCAACTAGTTGTAGGAGTTATTTCATTCCATTTGCAACTGTTAGTTGGGCCCCGATGGATTCTGAATCGAATCCATTTTCTGAGTCGCTGGTTGCATCCAACATGAGGGATTCTCGGGATTGGTCTCCACTTGGATATCCCACGAACATAACCAGGGATATAACCGACTTAGTAAATGGGATGAGCCACCAAGCACATAATGGCATTTTGTTAGGGCCCCCCAAGGGCATGACAAGATTCAATCGTTCCCCAGGGTTTCGCTTGTTTTTCTCAAATATTGGAGGAATTCAGTGGGAAAATTTCGATCAACCAGGGACCATCCGAGGAAAAAGGCGATTGTTTGTACCTGCCAGCGCACCTGTTGCACTACGTCCGCTCCTGGCGACATGGCGGCGAGGTCTGCTGAGACGGGTGAAGCTGAAGACATTGGAAGATGTTGATTGGACTAATGTCATCAGCTTCACTGATTATCTGGTTGGTGGTTTTGGAACATGTTTTTTCCATAATATATGGGAGAATCCTTCCCATTGACTAGTATTTTTCAGAGGGGTTGAAACCACGAACCAGCTATCTAATCTTGACATTATCTATCATGCTGATCTAAGCTGAAGACATGTTCATTCCTGACGTGATCTAATTATCTATCATGATGCCTAGGATTGGTCAAGACTCAATCTGGGGATGTTGGGATGTAGACATGACAAAATCATGCCTGGAGCTACGGGGCAAAGTTTCATCCACCTGGTTTCACCGACTTCCCCAGGCACCAAAAAGTTTGAGATTGGATAGTTCCTGGTTATCTAAACACATGTTTGATACGTACACATGCATTTTTTAGTTATCAGTTAGAACTAGTTATAACATAAGTTATAACCATAACCACCGTGTTTCTTTGATATACATTCCCGATGGTATTGTTGATATGCCTTTATTTGTTTATTTGCTTGGCAAGTAAGTCTTTTAGCTATACAATCGAAAACATGGCTGATCCTTGTCAAACTCTAAAAACATGCTATTTCTTTGGGTATGTGAGGTACTGTATCAACAATTACTGTACCCTCTGGTAAATTAACAGAGACCCTGAAAATCACATTTTTTCAAAATCTTAGTGGCGACTAATCTTCAGGGTCTATGTTAATTTACTGGAGGGTAAACTCAATGATCAACGATTAAACATACAGTGGCTATGGTATGATACTTATATAATATTGATGTTCTCATAATGTCATATATCAGTGTAACATAGGAAAAAATCATATCAACTATCAAAGCAACTCACGAATCACGAATCTGTCCACATCTTTGTTCCGAGGAGTGACGATCCCGAAGATCATCGCATCATTGCCCTGATGACGATGTTACTCCAGCGTGGGACAGATTTGACTCGGATGACCAGCTGGGCTAAAAGATCATGGGAATCCAAGAACCCCTACTGACCATTTTCAAAAGCGGAAAGATACGGAAAAGATTTCTGAATCATTTCTGAATCCATAGGGATTCTCGGATACACTTTTTCAAGGGTCACATCTAAACCATATGGATCTGTCGAAATGTGTATCCATGTTGGAGAAAAAACCTTCAATCCCTGAGAAATACTGATAAACCATGGAATGTCGGAGTACCACATGTTCAGTCAAACTTGAGAAGATCCATCCACTCCATGAACTCTCGTTCCATGGGCGAATCACAATCCACCGTAATATACCTTCTGGTAAATAAACATAGACCCTGAAAATAAGCAATCTATAGTTGAAACGAGTCCTCCAACCCCTATCTGGCAGGGTCTATGTTAATTTACTGGAGGGTATATTATTACATCCGGTTATTTAACATAGCTATGGAAAATCCATTATAAATGGAGGTTGATGTCGCTGGGAAAATCATTTGTTTCTATGGTCCATTTTCCAGTTCGCTATGTTAAATAACCAGGGGGTATATATATATATAGAGGGGTCGCAATCCGTGAAGGGGAAATCCCCTTCTCAACCACCCAGTCGATCAAAAGGGGGAATCCCGTTGCTGGTTTTGAAGACTGCTCATTGAAACGGTCTAAACATTTGTCTCCCCATATCCCCAAGTTAGGGCTTCAAACCAGCCATTTGGGGAATATACAAGTGATACCGCGCCGTGGATGGAAGAAATCCTGCACCAGTTGGTAGATTCTGGTAGATGGTGTATCCCATGATAATCCCATGATTTTCAGTGTTTCATAGGAATCCCAATAGTTGCCACCTGGTGCAGGATTTTGCAACCATCCACAGTATGACCTACACAAAACACAGATGAACCGGAGACCCACACGGTACCGGGATTGATGTTTGCTTCGTATGAGATCTCGATGGGATTTTAGCATCAATTATAGGGCTTTTATAGTGGTTTTTCAGTCATTTCATTTTCATACATATTGGGGATATCATTGATATATGATATCATTTTCTAGATATTCATACATATGGGAATTACATATTCATACATATGATATCATTGATATCTACATGACGATTGATTGGTTGAAACGTTAAAGAAGTCGGTGGTTTTCTCGTAGGCTTATGTATTTGGGATGATGATTCACCAGTATGACTCATTGGATTGGAGAACGGTAGTCTGAACGACTCATTCATCGTTTTGGAATGTGGCCATAGTTTTAAATACCATTATTGCAATGGACAATATTCCATCTATATCCATCTATGATTATATATATACACATATTATGATGATATATCTGGTTGCTGGTTTGGAACATGAATTTTATGACTTTCCATATATTGGGAATGTCATCATCCCGACTGACGAACTCATATTTTTCAGAGGGGTAGGTATACCACCAACCAGAATAAGACAACAACTGGTTTGCATCTCTGATATGTCAAAAGATGGAGTAGATAGACATTTGCTCTGATGCAAGCCCCAATCACTATCAGTATATATCAGTATGTTCTTGGATTCGGTTTGTTTTACATGATGTTGTTTGTTTAAATTTGTATAGTTATATATATATATATATTAGCATCATGCTTCTTTGGATTTGATAATGATTAATTTGGTAGACCCAATAGTACAGAACCTTTCCAGGCATTATGCTTTACAACAACCAACCAAAAGGATTCTTAGTTGGAAGGGTCGTTATTGTTGTTATGAGTGTTGATATGATTTTTTTCATGGGATCATACAAAGAACACATGGAACTATAACATTTGAGACCAACTATATATAGCATTTCATATCAACTCCGAATTGGTAAACTGGTCTGTTCATATGGAGGGATACCGAATCTTGGTAGATCATCACGACCAGGATCATGGCCACGGTGGTAAACTATCTGACTAGTGGCCACATTGGTTCTTAAAGTTGGATACCACGTAATACCACCCACAAATCATCAAAAATCCAATGGTTTAGTGATTGAATGGTGACTGAAAGGTGGTTGAATAGTCATTTAATTGGGTCATATTGGGTCTTGACAATAATTTCTCTGCTGCAACGGTCTTGGGAAACAACAGATGCCCAATCGCCTGAGGTTTCAATCTGAGGAAAGCTATGACCCCAGCTACTGCAAGGATGTGCCTTCCCACAGCTATCTGAGCGACTCGCTGGAATTAATTTGGCTAGGATGTAACTTAAATCAGTAAATCCATAATAATCCATATTTTTCCCAATCAGTAAATCAATCAGACGATGCTGCGTAGCCCAAAAGCAACCGCGCGCTCTTCGAGTTCTGCACACGCGAAAGCTGCCTCACTGTGAGGTGACTACGATGTGATGTGGGGTGAGTTCCCTGGTAGTATGGAGGTGCCACGGTGCATGAATCATGTGAAGAGTCTCAGCGGCAAGTCAACGACTTCCCAGCGGAACACCAATAGGCTCAATATATTAAATATGAATTGGGCATGGCGGCATGACATTGTTTTTGTTTTTTGCTGGAATGACCTAGTATCATTAGTTATACATGTGATTCACTGTGATATATATATATATATTATAATATCCAATAAACATAATGTGGAATTTATAGTTGTAGCTGAGCTGGGCCACGCAAGGTACAACCTCGATAGGGGGTTTGGGTGATGCTAACCATTCAACCCCTGGGCCTGTTCAATTTGACAGCAGATTACTATAAATATATATATATATATATAGATATGTGTTGGGGGTTATCCTCTGGTGAATTGACGTAGACCCTGAAAATAACCCATGTTTCGTGAAAAAAACCTATCTGCCAGGGTCTATGTTAGTTTACTGGAGGGCAACTCCCTGATTTTTGTGGTTGACGTCACTGGAGTTGGTTGATCATCGCACAGCTTGGCAGTCCTGACCAAGCGGTAGGATTGGGAAGTTTTTTTTGGGCCTCCAAGCAGGCCTATCTTTTCCAAAAAGGGGATAGCCCAAATTCAGGCTAGTGATTTGAAGTGAGGAACATGATGCAATACTATGGAGATTTGCGGTGATGTTTGGGGACATAACCAGGGGATGGCAGGAGAACATGCAGATATAACTATATAACTATATAACTATATAACTATATAACTATAGTATTCATGGGGCTTATAAACCAACAAACATAACTATGGGGCACCACCATTTGTTGGTCACCTTTCTTTCAAGTTCACATGGCAGCGATCCATTTTGGAAAAAGTTACCCAGTTTCGATATATCTCGCAAACTGTGGAAAAAGAATGAAAAAGACTGAGACCAGTGTCAAACTTGGAGTACCTGTTACCGCGCAAATTTGGTCGATTTTCCTGCTTAAAAAGCACGTGTGGCTCATGGTTTATAAAGAAACCACGTTCCTTTTTATGGACCATCATAGTGTATCATAGATTATCATAGTATATCATAGTATTATATATTTTTGTATAGTATATCATATCATATCATACCATATCATATCATACCATATCATATCATATCATATCATATCATAGTATCACATCATATCATATCATATCATAGTATTACATCATATCATATCATATCATATCATATCATAGTATTTAATATCATATTATATCATAGTATTTAATATCATATTATATCATAGTATTTAATATCATATTATATCATAGTATTTAATATCATATTATATCATAGTATTGTTTGTTTGTATATAATTGGCCCTTTTGGCAGGGAGTGAAGTGCGCATTTGCCCAGCCAAGGATGGGCTATCCCAATTGGAACTTCGGCGTCCGGGATGGGAAGTTCTGAATAAAATCTGAAGGATTTGTGCCATGGATGTACCCTTCGGTACCCTCTGGTAAACTAACATAGCTATTGAAAATTGCCATTTATAGTGAGTTTTCCCATTGAAAATGGTGATTTTCCATAGTTATGTTAGTTTACCAGAGGGTAAACTATTTTAATGGAAAATGGGAATACCATTTGTTGAATGGACATGTGCCATTTGCATTGGTGAACTGATGGGAATACAATGGGATATAAACCAAGAATACCATCCGGTAAACCTACCTGGAGCTTCCAAATACTGCATTTTTGAACTCCAAACCCAAAAAAGATCGATTTTGGGGGTTGGTTTGGAAAAAAGAACACCAGAGTGGTTTTTGCCGTTCCTGACACTTCGGACGTTCTGGAGTGGAAAAAAGCGTTCAAAAAGCGTTCAAATAGCGTTTAAAAAAACCGTTCAAAACCGTTCGTAAGCGTTCTGGAGTTAAAAAAGGCGTTCTGGAGTGGAAATAACCGTTCAGGAGTTCTTTTTCTCTTGAATTTGGCAAAATTGATCGATTTTGGCTTTGGTGTGGAAATTTCCACGATCAAGAGGATCCAGGTACACAAAACTATGGAACATCACCATTTTATAGTTGGGTAAATCAACGAACTAAATGATTAAATGGCCATGTTCAATAGCAACCTGTTTGTTTACCAGAGGGTAGGTTTCATGTTTAAAAAACAACCGCTCCTTATAGTCTCCTTAGATTTAGATAAGGTGAGTGAAATTGAAATTGGTCATGGCCCATCATGGACGTGAGCCCAGGTGCCCATCGAATCGTTTCATTTTACAAAGGTAAATGAAGAGCTGCAAAGGTAATGGTAATATGGTAATTCTTCCAAATTGACCTGAATTTAGGTGAATCATTACAAGTTTACTTAATATCCTATCATATCCCCATTTTGGTTGGTAACCTTTGATTATATCATATTACTGTCCATAATTATGTTATTGTAATTCGGCCAGATCGCAGTCTCCAAGCCAAGTTTTTTCTGCCAAGTGATGGTCGATCCATACCGTGTGCGTAGAATCAATGCTTCAGCGGCATGATTGGTGTAGATTTGGCTTGGGTGTGTCTGAAAACAGGTTGGATATCCCAACAATGGCTGTGTCCATGTGGAAAAATGATGATAAACCAATGATCAACCAACGATTTTTTCGTTGTTCCCGCGCAGAGAAATCCCATCGAAATTTCATCATTTCACCCAGGCGGATTCAGCCACAGCCATCCATAAAGCTGCATGGACTTCGGGGATTTGCCATGGACACCGTTGCTGGTACCCTCTGGTAAACATACAACAAACTATGGAAAGATCCACCATGTTTCATGGGAAAATCCACTATTTCTATGGTCATTTTCAATAGCTATTTTGACATAACCAGAGGGTAAGTCAAGTGCCAGGAAACGAATGCTGGCGAAGCTGGCCAAAAAGGAAGTTGGTGGAAGCCTCAGACTTGGCGACGGCAATGCGGAATCGAAATGGTGTAGCAAAAACATCCTTGATTGGATCCATGAAAATCATATGGAGGTGTCCTAAAATGGGGTACCCCCAGTCAGCATCCATCTTAATAGGATTTTCCATTATAAACCGTCCATCTTGGGATACCCCCATTGTAGGAAACCCCCCAAATTGATGTTTCTATATGTTTCAATGGCTTGACATTTTCTGAAATTCCAAAATCCAGGCAATGAGTTTGCTTGAGTCTCCAACCAGTTTTTTTTCTGCGTGATGATACAGTTGGTAGTATCTAGAATATAGTTCATCGAATTCAACTATATGTATATTACATAATCTAATATAATATGTATAAGTATAAATTGAATATAGTTTTTTTTTTTATATTGTATTGTATATCATCTATTATTCTATGTTTATACAGTGTATAGATTGTGTAAATCTAATATATATACAATCGCATAGAAACAGCGCATCTTGAGGTGAAAAAGCCTTCGTGAAGTTTTGGGCCAAAGAGGGCTACCCAAAAAAACGAGTCAAGGTGTCGTCAGCTTATGAAGGGGTGAGCTGAGCAGATAGCAACTGGCATAAGGGTGGGTTAAGCGTCCAACATGTGGGGATTGAATTAATCAATGATGGCTGGTACTCGTAGATTCTGAAATAATGTTAGTATATGCCGCAATAGTAAACCATGCCTAATTCTACAATATGTGATATATATATATACATGGCTTCGCGCTTGTTTCGGGCGTTCTCAACAACAGTGTTTTGTAAACATAGTGTCTTGCACTATAGTACTGGGAACAGACTTACAAGAACATTCTCCCTGGAAGGTGCTGCCTGCAGCCTTCCTACCTGGTTGCGGAGCCATTGCACATTGGCCTGCTTCCAGAGTCCCATGAGTGCCACCGGGAGAATTACAACCCAGATGCTTTTGGAGATTTCGCGAACTTTGTCATTGATCCGAACATATCACCTGAAGTGCTTGAGTCAAGGCATTTGCTGCTCCACTGCTCTACATGTTCGGATCAAGACAAGAAGTGAACTCACCATACTTCAGAAATTCAACAGCTGGAGACACTTTTGACCTGCTGCTGAACATTGCTCATTTAAGGTAGAACTGTATAACCATTTGTCTCCCCAGATCTCCAAGTTAGGGGATCAAATCAGTAAGAACATTGTTCATAGTTGAATCATGTTAAATCGTACTTGGTCATTTTGAATCTTGGGATCACCACTTGCTGGTTGTGTTAAACCACCATCAGTTTTCATGATTTAGTTGGGTTGAACAACCATTGTCGTTGATTAAACCACCATCCTAGATCTTTGAACCACCCTTTTTACTGCTTCAGTCACATGGTTTTACCAGCGAAAATCACCACATATCAACCAGTACAAGGTGGTAATTGACCACCCACTTCAAAGTTGGTTTACAAACTCCTCTAACTATAGCAATATTTATGATGAACCCCACTTGGCCAAGTTATCAAGCAACCTAGATAACATAATTCACATGGTGAATATGGTTACTAAACTATCTAGAATATATAATGTACACTAATGACTCATATTTACCATTTATCATACTTCACACATAAATATCCATGTGTCATGGAAAAACCATGGTAAAACCATGGTAAAACCATGGTAAAACCTTTATTTTTGGTGAACCATGGTGAACAGCCTGGGGCTGTCACCTCTACTCCCCATGGTACGGTGGACCATAGGCTGCCTGGCAACGTTTCGTGTCCGACGTTGCTTCGGAGACAATGACCTGGGCAGAGAAGGCAGGTTTTTTGGGCAGGACAAAAATAGGGATTTAAGCACCAAACATAGGAAGATCATTGGGATATTACGTAGCTATAATTCTAATGTATAATAATATACTATAATGTTGGATACTGATTTTACGATACTCAATAAATTTTACGATACTCAATAAATCGACATTTTAAACGCCCCCCCTCAACAATTTTTGGGATAGTCAACTTAAGTAAGGATTTCAAGTGACATCAATCTACTTTCAATTGATTTTCCTTTTGAGTCCAAAAAAACATGGCCCCAACAATTTTTGTGCACAATAGGGTACCATCGAAGCAATTATCTACATTATTGAGGATCTCGGTCACTCATGGGGTACCCCCTTGAAAAATTGTTTGGGATCTGTTTTTTTTAAATAGGGGTTTAATAAGGCATCTAATTAGTTGGAAAACATTGCATTTTCAAGGCTTTAACATGGATATGGTTTTCTAAAATGAATGGACCAGCTTTACCCAAAGAAAGGTGTGTAAAGGTGGATAAAGTTCCTCCTGAAAAACATGGATCTGAGAAAAAACTTCTCACAATAGAGGCTCACCCCCCCATTCACAAAATACTCATTTATTTTTGAAAATTGTCTCACAATAGTCCCAGGACACTAATCGGTATACTACACTAATATATTATAATATAGGATTTAACATGATTTCACAAAGAAAGCTGGATGTATACAGTAAAACGTAGAGAAAATAGATTGAAACCTATTGGATTTGGGATCCAACCAACCCTAGAAATGGCTATGCCAGTTGTGGTTTAACCAGCAAACTTGGGGGCAGTTGAAAGCAAAATGGTATCACCAGAACGAAATAAAACATGATTTGTTTAGAAAGAAAGACACGTCAAAGAATGCGCATTGAAACCAAGTAGAAGAATATGGATTTATCAACCAATCTTG